GAGTTGAAACCGAAGCGGTTGAAAGGGAAAGCAGGCAAGCAGGGTGCTTCGCGTGCTTCGTGTGCTTCGTGTATTGTCCACCTGAGCCTTACCCTCAAAACGGCAGCTTCCGCTTTTCGGGTGGAAGAGGAATTGATTGAGAAGTGTTTTAAATGGCCAGATTAGCTTTGTGAAATTGTCTGGGTCCCACAAAAAGCCCTCGCGATTCCCAAACATCATGCAGGGCGGCTTTTGCCACTGTGCGTGGCCCATGTACCCCATAAACCACCACGAATGTGCCAAGGTCCTGAAATACAATGGAAACCTCCCACCCCCATCACGCGGACTGGAAGGTTCCTCAGCTGAGAGTACTTAGGTTGTCCCCAGAGAGAAATGAGGGCTTGACATAAACACAACAGAGGGAAAGACTGTACCAGGCGCAACTGGCTCAACAGCTCCAGTGTGCAGTCACAGTAACGGCAAACACAAGAACACAACATGTGGGCCGTTTGAAGTGGCATCCTCAAACTTACGTACCCTCTACATGTCGGTTTAAAGGGACCCCCCTTGCAACATTGCTCACATCTCTGCGACACGTGCAAAGGAAGGTCACTGCAAACAAGCTGCCAGATCCTTTGTACCCGTCACTGCATCGAGGACCGACGCCAAGCGTCCTGATGGGTCGTATTTGTTGGTCTTCTGGGAAACCTGCCCATAAAACGGGATACACTTCCTGATGTGTATGGCCTATACACCGGGCCATGGTGGTCCCCTTATATATTAGAATCCTTGCCATGATCTAAAATCCGGGGTTGAGGACCATCCCTGCCAATCTCAAGCTTGGTCTTTTTACCCATTGCACATGAAACAAATGACCAGGCCTTTGCTTCGGGCCCTCCCAACCCCCGTAGATCTGCGCTTGGGTTTCTAGTCGACCGAATGCACACAGATCCATCGACCAGTCCTGCGCGCACATCCTCAAAGCTCGCCTCCTTGTAGAGCCACGGCGCCCAGGAGGCCAATTGCTCGCTCATGGAGAAGATCATCACCTCCGATTCGGATGCTCCGGAAGTTGAGCCGGTGCATTTGCAAAAAAGCCCATGATTGATTCCTTGAAGAGGAAACTAAACATTGAACAAATACCAAGTTCCTTCTAGTTTCCGCAAGTTGTTTAGCGAAGAAAACAACGAGTGCTTGTGCTATGCCAAAATGAAGCGAAAACCGCTCACAATGGTTTCATGTATTTGTTTTTCTGCCACGCATGCGGGGATTTCAATTACAGTGTGGTTGGTGTTCATATTCTGTCCGGCTTCCTGGCTGCTTTACCTTCTCGATGCTGGATGATACAGTGCTGCACAAGGAAATTACGAATTGGCTGAGAGGGTCGACTGGGGGGGCCCTTTAGTGGAATCCTCTATACGGGGGGTGGGGGGGGAGGTTGTCCTTGGACCCGTGTTGAAAGGGTATTTTCTGCGAAAAATCACGGCCCAGCTGGGTACAAACAAATGCGTTCGAGGAACATGATTGTCATGCGCAAGCTGAAGCCTGCTTGTTACCCATTCATACGGCTCCTTTTTATGGCTGTGTCCATTCCAAATGAGTGGATTGGAGAAACTGTGTCTGTCGCTAACATAGTGTTCCCAAAATGTGAAAGCGCAGGAATGTATGCCAAGTGAGCTAGATTCCAATGGGGTTCGCTCCAAGCGGCGTTGGTGAGCACTGAGATGCTCATGATGATCTGCAGCAGCTGTCCCCAGATCCCGATGGAGCTGACGCGGTGGGAGATGGGACGCTGGTACACCACCGCCAGCTTGAACATGTCCGACTTCAGCTCCACCATGTTGCCTCACATCCAAAGCTGCGAGCTCAGCTGGAAATAAACATCAAAATGGCACTAAAACTGTTGCCTAAAAAATTTAGCTGGGATGAAACCTCACACGACCGCTACTCAACCTTGAGGGAGACGACAGGATGGATGCAAACTCGGTTAGTTGCCATCGGGGGTTGAATTGAAATTCTCCAAACTAGCAGGTTTAAAAGGGAGGAAGCTCCCCAAAAAAAGTTCTGGGTAACACTCCCCGACCAAAAATCAAACCTGACCTGGAGGTGGGCCTCAGCCAGCTCTTCGCGAGCCGGCCTTTCCAGGGTACGTGTGTGTGTGTGTGTGCTCGGCCGCAGAACGCCAACAGTCTACTCAATGGACCGATCCAAACCTGCCGCATGACTGACAACCGTATCTTCCCTGCACACACATGCACGCACACACAAACACATTCACATGGTCCATATCTGCCACCCAGGCACTGACCACAGAGAGCGCCGCAGCCAGGGGAAATGCCGACGCAAAGAGCGTCACGTAGCCGAACTCGATCACCTGGATCCACCGGAGGCCAACACGAATGGGCAAATTGGGAAGTTGAATGGGACGAGCAATAAACCGTGCGGCAAGGTGCCGGTAGCTTGTTCGCTCTCGAGTCATCATATTTGTGCTCCTCCCTCTTGGTTTGCAGGGGGGTTCAAGTATAGGACTTCCTCATGCACAAACGTATTGCCTTCCTTATGTCTGCTTCTGGTCTTTCTTCCTGTTGTCTGTCCGTAGTTTTATCTCTTGTCTTGTAGAAGGACTTGTCACTAGTACACGGTTTCACAATCATGCCGGGAGAAGCATCCGTGTTCTTCGGGAGAAGCATCCTGGTTCAAGGGCGCACCAAGGCCCATCCATCCAATATCCTACTCTAAAGATGCGGTCATCGACGTTGTTCCTCCATTTCGGATTTATTGTAGTGTTCTTGCATGGTTCTAGAATGACAAGTACATGCCTTTACGTGAAGGTGCGTTTCGCCTGCCCCCGGAGATTCGCAGAATGGGCCACCTACGCGAACTTTGCATTCAGGCTCCTATTCTCGCTGTAAAGATATTTAACGCCGGCCCAGATCTGTTGTGCAGCATCCGGGCTCCCTCAATTGCTCTGCTGAATTTATCGGCTTGACTATCCCTGGCAAATGTACGGCACTGACGCCAAAGGATGCAGGGTCCGTGCCATTGCATCCTAACTTACCAACTGTCACAGGCTTCCCCTGTTCCCTATGTGGCATAAATGGCCATGTTTGCACCGTTTTGAACCCTCGGGGTGATTGATGGATGTCCGGGCGCCGGGCCATTTCCAGGAAGTCGTCGAACCTCAGTCACAAGCGAAAATTAAATCCAGCTCGATTTCTGCAGGATCCGAGGTTCAGTGCCGAACTCAAGCTGTGTGCAACATTGAGGGGTAGTACCCTCCCGGCAGTTGGTTTCCCTTTGGTTTCCCTTTAGAGTCTCAGTGCTTCAGTCAGACACATTTCGAGCTGCAAAACTCGCACCACCAAAAGCGAACATGTGGGACCCCCAAGTCAAGGGCCTTCGGTGATCAGCCACAACTCGGACAGCTTTGGACCAAGCCAGCAAACCCTGCGAGAATTCCCAACGCTTCACACACGCCGAGATCTGCCACGGAGAAAAGTACTGCAACTTTGTTGGAAAGTTTGGCCCTCCGCAAATGTGTCCTTTGTGGTTTGAAGATGTGCCAGGACTCGCTGCATTTCTTGGTTGACCATGCAGAATGATTACAATGAAACCTTGGCTTGTTTCAGTTTTGTGGGGAACCCAGTGAAAAACAAAGAAACTATGCTGCTGAACAACTGAGTCGGAAACACACTGCAGCCAACAGAGAGAAGCCTTCATATATGGCTGTCGTGGGGTTATTTAGCAAACCAATGGGCATGCAGGTTATGTCGCCCAAGAGTCTGTGTTCACATAACGCCATTCTCTGCGGAGTAGCAGCTCTACCAAATGTCTCTAAGTAAAGCACAAAACGGGCGCAGTCACTTGGGGTTGGCCGATGCTCATCAACCGACCTTTGGCAAAGATCCCGAGCCTGGATGGCTCTCCAACCCTGGCGTGTGGCCCCAAACAGGTTGGGGTTCTGAAAAGCCCGCCCATGAACCTCTGGGCGAGCCCTGCTGCTCGTACAAGGGCTGGTCCAACACCTCCAGTGCCTCGATGAAGTGGGCCTGCTCCGACCTGCGGTTTTGTTCCGGAGATGTGGTCTGCCCGGTGAAGCAACATGGACTTAAGAAATGGAACGGCTCGCTCCAATTCGTCCAGAATATACCGGTTGCGAGCCATGGCTCCCCAGCCTTGCTCCTGCACACGGCCCGATGACTCGCGCCTTTTGTACACTCGATTCAACTCGATTCTGCTCGCGACCCCTTTGGGCTTGAGCTCTGTGCGCGAAATCCCATGTCTGGGAGACCAGTGCATGCGCCAAAACTGGTGCGAAAACTGGAGAGGGAAAACCCTACAATCACAGCGAACATATTTGGCCTTTTGCTTGTAAGTAACCCCTCTCGGGTTTCAAATAGAAGCCAGAAACGAATAAACATTTTGAGGGGTCTGCTAGCTTTGAGACGAAACCGACTGCACGATTCTTCTGTTCCGTGTTCAGCCACTACCCATCTGTCCCGGGGACAAGCTGTGTGAACATAATAAGTCTTAGACAACAACAGAACATGTCATCAGTAGATAGAGTCCAAGAAAAGCTGCTGAAGCTATCCACTGCCATGTTCTGTTAATGTTTGAAGCATGGCCGGGCCCTGCTTAAACAGGTGAACAGCTGACAAAAATGGCAAACATGGCTTGATCTCATTCGGACTCGGCGTGACTTGATGAACAAGGCGAGGATAATCAAAGCGTCTTCTCGTTTTGCAGAGAAGTCGGTTTTGAACTCCGTCTCGTACTTTGGTCTTGCGTGCTCTCCCGCATTAGAGCTTGAACGTCGGACCTTTCCGTGCATGCATACCACAAAAGAGTGCGCTTTAGCTCAAAAATCGTAACTTTCCAGTACAAGGGTAGCAAGCGAGGTACACGTAGTACTGAGGTTCGAAAATGCAAATTACACCAGCAGAGACCCCAAACAGTTGAGGGCTGACGGGCGAGCACAAACATGCCAACAGCTTGTGGCTTTCTGCGCTTCAACACGGATGAATCAAAATGATGCAGTCGTGAACCTGGCGCGCGTTGCGTTGCTGCACGTGTGTTGCTGGCATGCTTCGCGCTTCAGCGCCGCGCCAGAACTGAGGTTGGGCAAGCGCGCGCGATGGCGGGCGAGCGCGCGCGCGTGAACGCAAGTGTGGCCGCGCAAGCACGCAGTCACATGAGCAGTTCAAACACACATGTCCAATTCAGACACACATGTGTGTACACGTGGAACACACATACGTATACGACTGAAACAGTATACATTCACCTGCGGCACACGCATAAATGTGTTGAGCTGGAAAACAAACATGTGCTTCTTGGAAAGCACACACACATGTGCAAACGTGGAACGCACATATGTGTTCACTTACGACACGCTAATGCGTTCACGTGGAACACACATGTGTGTTCACTTGGAACACAATGAAACGCGTGTCCAATTCAGACACACATGTGTGTACACGTGGAACACACATGCGTTCACCTGGAACACAAAGACGCGCAATTAAAGCACACATGTGTGTACGCGTGGGACACACATATGTATACCACTGGAACACAAACATGTGTCCACCTGGAACACCGCGTGTGCGATTAAAGCACACATGTGTGTACATGTGGAACACACATATGCGCACACGTGAGCAAACATAAATGCTCACCTAAATCGCACACACATGCGCGCACCTCGAAAACAATCATGCGTTTTCTGGAGCGCATACATGTGCACACCTGGAGAGCAAATATGTCGTCAGATGCCAAAAAAAGTTCATCTAGCACATACTAATGTGTTCACGTGAAACACACATCTGTTCACCTGGAACACAAACACGTGTCCAATTGGAACACACATGTGCGTACACGTGGAACACACATATGTGCACACGTGAACACGCATATGTGCACACGTGAACACTCACATATATGTGCACCCGGAACACACACCCGTGTGCTCATCTGATAACAACCATGTGTTCTCCTGGAACACAAACACGTGTCCAATTGGAACACGCATGTGTGTACACGTGAACACACATATGTGTACACGTGGGAGACGCAAATGCGCACACGAGAACACACACACACATGTGCACACGTGGAACACACACATGTGTACTGCACATGTGAACACGCACATTTATGCGCGCGCGGAAAACACAGACACACACGAGTGTTCATCTGATAACAAACACGTGGTCTCCTGGAACACAACCGTGTGTCTAATTGGAACACAACCGTGTGTACACGTGAACACACATATGTGTACACGTGAACACACACATATTTATATATATATATATATGCGCACCCGGAACACACACACACACGTGCGTTCATCTGAAAACAAACATGTATTCACCTGAAACACAAACACGTGTCCAATTGGAACAAACATGTGTGGACACATGAACTCACAAATGTGTACATGTGGAACACACATATGTGTGCAAATGAACACACATACATGCGCACGCGGAGCAGACACACACACACACACACGCGTTCATCTGATAACAAACATGTGTCCTCCTGGAACACAAACACGTGTCCAGTTGGAACGCACATGTGTGCACGCGCGAACACACAATGTGTGCCGTGAACACACATACAAAAAAGTGCACGCGGAGCAGACACACACGCACGTGTTCATCTGATAACAAACATGTGTTCTCCTGGAACACAACCGTGTGTCTAATTGGAACACAGACGTGTGTACACGTGAACACACATATGTGTACACGTGAACACACACATATATACGCGCACCCGGAACACACACACACACGAGTGTTCATCTGAAAACAAACATGTGTTCACCTGGAACACAAACACGTGTCCATTGGAACACACATGTGTGTACACGTGAACACACATATGTGTACACGTGGGAGACGCAAATGCGCACACGTGAACACACACATGTGCACACGTGCAACACACACATGTGTACTGCACATGTGAACACACACATTTATGCGCGCGCGGAAAACACAGACACACACGAGTGTTCATCTGATAACAAACACGTGTTCTCCTGGAACACAACCGTGTGTCTAATTGGAACACAGACGTGTGTACACGTGAACACACATATGTGTACACGTGAACACAGCACACGTGGAACACACACATGTGTACTGCACATGTGAACACACACATTTATGCGCGCGCGGAAAACACAGACACACACGAGTGTTCATCTGATAACAAACACGTGTTCTCCTGGAACACAACCGTGTGTCTAATTGGAACACAGACGTGTGTACACGTGAACACACATATGTGTACACGTGAACACACACACATATATATGCGCACCCGGAACACACACACACACGTGCGTTCATCTGAAAACAAACATGTATTCACCTGAAACACAAACACGTGTCCAATTGGAACACACATGTGTGGACACGTGAACACACAAATGTGTGCACGTGGAACACACATATGTGTGCAAATGAACACACACACATGCGCATGCGGAGCAGACACACACACACACACGTGTTCATCTGATAACAAACATGTGTCCTCCTGGAACACAAACACGTGTCCAGTTGGAACGCACATGTGCGCACGCGTGAACACACAATGTGTGCACGTGAACACACATACAAAAAAAGTGCACGCGGAGCAGACACACACGCACGTGTTCATCTGATAACAAACATGTGTTCTCCTGGAACACATACACGTGTCTGATAAGAACACACATGTGTGTACACGTGAACACACATATGTGTACACGTGCAACACGCATATGTGCGCACGTGAACGCACATATGTGTACATGTGGAACACACATATGTGCACACGCGAACACACACACACATATATATATATATATATATGCGCGCCCGGAACACGCACACACACACATGCGTACACCTGGAACACATATGTGTGTATGTCTGGAAAGCACATTTCTGTTCACCTGCAACACACATATGTGTTCACCTGGAACCCATATATGCGCTCACTTGGAACAGGCATTTGTGTTCACGTGCGACACTGGTGCAGACCTGGATCACACAAGCATGTTTAACCAGAACAAACTTCTGTGTTGACTTGTAACACACATATGTGTACACATGGAACACACGTGTGTGCACATGTGGAGAAACATGTGCAACACAAATGTGCAACACACATGCGTTCACCTGGACAACAAAAATGTGTTCACATGGAATTTACATTTCCTGCACGCCTGGGCGACACATAAATCAAGTTCCCGAAGCCGGCTGTGAGGCGCTATTCCATGGGGCTCTGCCTTGAACAACGCTTGTGTTTTATATGCGTGTTCCAAGTAGGAAAATAGTGTTCGTGTACGATCAATCTAGCTTTTTTGCAACACATTGCTAGCGCGCGAGCCTGCTGCTGCTGCTGCTGCTACTACTGCTAGTACTATCAGTATCGGATGCGTCTCCAGCAGTTACAGGCTTCAGCTTAGCAAAAGCTTTCCGGCGCATTGCGCTTCTTTCTCGCTTAGCTGCACAGTGTCTTTCGTATCGATTGCTAAAGTGCTTTGATCGTATTGTGGCAACTCTTCGTATCGATTCAGTAAAGCATTTGCTTTCGCAGGGAAATACGCAACCCAATTCTTCCGTATGCTCGGTACAAGGCATCCCTGCCGTCTTGCCTCAGCCGTTGTTTCTCCCCTTTGTCCAGCAAATCGCACTCCATGATAATTGCATGCGAGGAGAGCGGAAGCAAATTTGGATTGAAGCGTAACTGGGAACCGGTCACAGCTGACCACTGCGCTAGCGCCTTGCTAGCGCGCGGCTAGCGCGGGTTCGCCGTATTTTTTGGAGTCACGGCGACCATCTGTGTGGATTTGACAAATTAAGGCCACGTAAGATGAAGGTAAACGTGCGGGCTGGCTTCAAGTACTAAGTAAGAACTGCAACATTACACCCTTGAAAGCCACGCAAAGCCCATCGCGGCAACCCACGCGCCAACTCTTGGAAACCAAGATCACCGAAGACCCTAGCGCAAACCAAGCGCCATCCTAGCGCCTCCAGTGGGGAGCGGGCAATCCA